GTCAGAGCTCTGGAGATATTCTGCTCCCTGCTCATTTGCATTTCAGATCTTCTGGTCACTCAGAAATTTGTGATCCTCCTTCATATTTGCTCACAATCCCCTGGGGTCCTAAGTCAGAGTTTGAGAATACCTGCTTTAACTTTGTATAAGGCTTAAAGCACCAGTTCTTAACCCTCTAACTTCTAAAAAAGTAGCTGAGGGCTACAAAACACCTGGATGATTCATGTGCTTCCTATAGGCTCTAATGCACTTATGGAAGCTAGTAAAAAAAAAAAGGTTTACTTGGTGTTTGAAGCTTTTTGAATATCTTGGAATAAGACCTTGCAATATTCCAGAGAAATATTCTGTTTATAGATGTAAATATATCAATCTGTTTATCCCAGATTAGTATTGATATAAGTACTATGTAAATAGATGATTTAAAATTCTAATGATCTTACAGGGAAGGATAAACTTTGTAAAAAAAAAAGAAGAATATTATTCAAGATTGATACAGGTACTTAGCAATATCCCCTTATTAATTCCTTTAAGCTATCTTAAACAGATTGATACTTTATTAAGTGTTGGAGGGAAAGTGCTTGTGCGTATATATGAGCGAGCACTCCTGAGAGCAGAACTCTAACCTAAACAAGGCTTAATGAAGCAGGTTTTAAAACTGTAGCAGAAAGGAGATTTATTTAAGGAAATACAAGACAGGCTACTAGCACCTGTAGGAGGAGGCTTAAAGAACAAAGGCAGAAGTAGGTGCTCTGAGGTTACTGAGGAGACACAGAGCAAATCCTTCACTGTCTGTATAGATAATTTTGATCTTTTCTCACATGATAAATTTATACTTGGGATCATTCTAGTTTGAAAATTAAAGTTAAGTCATTTTCACTCTGTTGAAAATATATAATGTTGGAGGAAACACTTATACATATGACAGAAGTTTCATTTTGGTTTGATATTCATGAATTTGTTAGTAAGTTTTTGGGACAAGTTATGTGCTTTAAAGAGTTGAATGTAAATTTTAATGATATTCCCAGAATTTGGAATTCATCAATATAAAAAATTATGGATTTATTGACTAGGGGGTGAGCAAAAAACTTTTTTACAATGGAAAAACAGTGCCACTCTGAATTTACAGTTTTAGATTGATATGTATCACATGTATTCACGCTTTGTTTATGAACTGACTCTGTATCAATGTCATGGAAAGAGTGACCAATATTATTCTATGTGCTCAAGGTTTAATATTGTGTTTAAAAACTGGGGCTGACATTTCTTGTTATATATAATTTGTGTTTTTATTTTCTTTGTATTTTTCTTGTCTCTTCATTTCTATATATTAAAATAATAAAATTAAAAAATATATGAACATGGTTTATGATTTAACATATTGTATGAACTAGCAAATGGAGTTTGTATGATAAAATGTGGTGATACCACAGCTTACTATGGTATATATTTTCTACCTTTTTCACATTAATTAAAATGTATAATTAATTCATATTAATTAAAACCGCTGTTCTGCAGTCTCCTCATGAGGAGCAGCTGTCCAGAGCACATGTGGGCAATCTCCCATCTCCTTATCTGGAGAGGTTCAAAGGAACCAGTCTACTCACCAGTCCTTGGTCTTTGTTGCAGTCATTGGCTCCGCTTTTGCAGAGATATCTTCAGTTTACCACATCTCCCCCAGAAGGACACTAAGTTTGCAAACCTCATTTTCTAATCACTTTCAGAAATTGCCTATTAACCATCTTAAAGCTATTAGAGACTCTCAGAATGACAAGTTTGAAAAGTCATCGGTTGAGTTTTATCTTCAACTCTAAACATAACAAAAATTATAAGCTTAAGAACTTTAAAAAAATGAAATAGAGCAAAAAGCTAAGTAAGATTTTGATCTAAGAAAGTTATAAACAGATTAAGGGTCCAAATAAATTTGGAATATTGACTTTTACTATAAGATT